TCAACGGTGGAAAGCACCGATAACAATTATTATGAAAAAAAAGTTAGCACTAATAAATCAAATAGAAAATGGTAATATTTAAATAAATAGTTTTTTTTTTGAGCACCCCCCCGTTAAATTTTTCTGAATCGGCGTCTGGCTACCTATATAATATAATACCAATAAAATGAATAATAAAAAAAAAACAGACTGACCGACTCCGTAGTCGCAAGTGGGTCCCAGGAACAGGTCGACGCGACCGTTGATGATCAGCTCGAAACCGGAGCGCATGGCCTCGATGTCCTCGCACTTGTCGTCCTTTTGCATGAACCTGAACGTGACGTCCGTCTCCCGGAGTATGCCCTTGGCGTACAGGTCGCGGACGGCGATGTCCAGCACGGGCATCACCTTGGACAGCGTGGTGATGAACTTGGACTCGGCGGGCAGTATGACGGCCGCGCGGATCTCCACCGGCCGGCCGACGGCGGTCGTCCAGGCGGTCGTCAACGACAACGACAACGACAACGACAATAACAACGACAACGACGACGGCGGCAGGGCAGCGACCACGACCGGTCCGCGGATCATCGTCGGCGGCGGCGGACGTTCGTCGGTACGTGTGTTCGCGGACTGCCGGTGGAACCGAACGAAGAAACGATAAGAGCAAAACGTCGAATACACGATATGCGGGATACGCGGTGCTCGACGCGGCGTGGGCGCTTATATGGTATCGTCATTATAATATTACAATTTTATTTGTTTGAACACTCGAAACCGTATCGAGTGTGTGTGTGTATAAGCTAGCTCAGCCTGTCTGTCACGAGCACCTGGCCGACTTATCGTGTGCGCTATATTATACTCTCGATAAATTGATAAATCATTATTGCCAAACGACGACGACAATGATATATAGTATTGTATTTGATGTAGATAACGCGTTTTATTCGTATGGCTGTACCTAACGATACCGCGACGTACCTAATAATATTATAATAATGTAATCGTATAACGATCGTACGACGAGCAGAACGCATCGTTGACAGGTCGGTCTCGCGTATATATTATTCCGATGACGSGTCGAGGTTTTCGCGTTTTTCGTAAATCGTTGTCATACCATAACATTTYGTCAGCGAAACGTGAAAAACGGTCGAAAACGGTCGAGAAGACGCCGCACCCGAATTTTCGTTGTCTGTTATCTATAATATTAATARTATRTAAATATATATTCGATGTTGTGATATGTGATGAGTACGCGTACGTACGTACGTACCTACGTCTTACAAGTGCGTTCAACGCGCGATAAAATTTTTCGCCGAGTTGCAGTTTTAATATTTGACCGAATTTGAGCGATCTCAAACATAACGATATTTCCGGTGTATCGGTTTTTTTTCTCCAGATATTTCAATTCTCAAGCGAGCCATGATGAGCATAGACGCGGGTCAATGATCTACGACCTTCCTTCGTAAATCGTTGTACAATAGGCGTACAAAACGTTCGTAATTCGCCTGGAAATTAAAACAACTGTTTTTTTTTTAGTATATTATACATATATTTATATGTTCTCGTGACTTTACTCTGTTATCCTACGTGTATATATAGGTCAGTATCCAAACTAATATTTAAGATCTTTTTTTTCGTATGGCGGTATGTCCGGGAGTAGGCCCGAAGGCCTAGTTCGGACGCCTGTTTGGCAGAATTTCTATTGATTAATATTTAAGAAATATTATTAAACTACAACAGAACCCTGCCTATTATACGAACATTTGAATAGCGCGACGATGAATGATATATTTTTTTGTTTTTAAGCATACAATACGAGCATGTGGCCCGGCTTGATTAATATATAATACGAATTAAAAATAAATACGCAAGTGTGATAAARTAGCCAATAGGTAACCATTAAAATAACTCATGATGGTCAGGTTTACGAGATGTAAAAGGAAGGGTCAGAATCGGTGATAAACATACAGAGCCGAAGTGGTATGGCGTGGAGGGACATTCATACAATGAATAACAGAGAATAGGTGTGGTGAACAATAATATTATATAGTTATTGCCTTAATGGTACCGTTATATAGTAATGATGATGGTAGCACCGAAGCGGTATGGTTTGTTAATTTTCTCCGGTGGTAGGAGTTGGTTGCCGCACCGGGTTAGAGTGTCAGTTTTGCACCGGAGAGGGTGGACTCCGGTCCCAGACCTATACACTTCAAGTTCCAGGAAAATACTTTAATAATAATAAAAAAAACGTAGGCAGTAGGTATGTACTGCAATTTATTTTATTTCAACAACATGGGAATTAAATATGTATAATGATTAATACGTGTTTTATCAAGGGCGGATATAGGCCTATTGGGAAATTTACCCTAACCTGACTATATTATTGACATAGATATTTGTTTTAAAATTAGAAATACACAATAACAGGCCCAATTATTTGTAAAATGTCGAACCGCACACTTAACTTTCTGCTTTAAATGGAAATTTTATTCTCAATACTGTAAAAAAGCAATGTATTACATAATATATAATAGGTGTATATAAATATGATAATTTGACAATGCAATTATTAAACAAAAAAAAAATTCAGGAAATACTCATATTTCCTAGTAGCTGGCATATTATTTAATTTTTGTTTTGTAGAAATGTAGACCGTAATATAGTGTACATTCATGATGTACATTGTGTTTGTGACTTTGTGTGTCGTTGTGCACATAAAAATAGGGCCTGCACAATAATATGTTGCTTTATTTTTGTGGTTCGAGAAATGTGAAACCTAACCTAACCTAACGTGTTATTTGTATTGAAATTTTCATGTGTGGACATTTTTCACTGTATGACGAAAAAAACCCATCTACCTCAAAATCCATTTTTGTCATAATATTTACTTAATGTGCCGCTAATTATACGCATCGTAAAATGGAATACATTTCTTTTCCGGAGACCCTCCGCAGTATCGGYCTGCTCCACCCATCTACGCTTGCAGGATATTCTTCATCATTGGAGGGCGCTTAGTCGAATGGAAAAATGTATATTTAAGTCATGATGAGTCGTGAGTGGGCAAATACAAATTCTGTTTAAACTATAACGTCAACCCGTCAACGTCTGCAGGTCTATATTCAACACGTCATTATGATGCGTATAGTATTAAACGACGTTCTCGTATACTTCGTGCACATAAGGCATAATAAGTTAAGTGTGAACGAGGATTAATTATGTCCAATGATTTAAAAATTAACTTTGATTTTCCAAAATCTAACAATATCTGGATCCTTTGTTCGGTGAATTTGGGTACACATTAAAACGCATTTTTCGTTATAACCATAACAACCAACAATCGGGATGAGGTATCCGGCGTGATACACATCAACACGACTATTGTATATAATTCATATTATATCGAATCATACGTCAATGATGGATTATATTCCATATATATTAATGTAACCGAAAAAAGTTTTTGATCAAAAATAATCCAATACGTACCTACATTACACGCTGGCACGGTGAAAATCGGGCTTTCTCCCGAAAAAMATGACATGTCGACTTTGGTAACAGGCGATTWTCTTTAAAAAAGTTACTTAAGCAGTTAAATCCATGAATACGAAATCAGTACTTAACTTCAGGTTTACCAAAACATGTTTTCAATAGTTCGTATTCATTTATAAAAAGCATTTAAAATTCAGATAAAACAGTTGTGGAGAAGTCGAGTGAAAATATATTGGTACCCCTCRGSGTACCTACCTTAGAGGGCGATAGAAATAACCTTCCCCTTGCCCAAAAGCTAGTTATTTCTATTAATAATTCGTATTATTAATTTTTAAAATACTTACTAACGATAATTAAAAAATACCAGCATTAGAATTTTATTATATCATTAACATTAACAAAAAATATATTCTATTTTAAAATACAAAATAATGAATACTTAAGATTTGCTGTTTGAAAAATCTTGTGAATCTCAATAAGAAATATATGTAARCATGCCGTTATAATGTTGACAGATTATGTAAAAATATATTTAGTTTTTTTAAATCACAAAAATGTATTTTTAAATGATATTAGGTATGCTTTGTGTATGTTAACGACGATAAAATATCACTCTGTATACTTTTATTATATGTTGCTGAAATAATAAATGCAAATACCGTTTCAGACAAATTACTACAAGATTATATTATGATTAGGTAGAAAATAACGTTTAAAAACCATTTTATTTTTAGATGGATTTCTCATCCTATCAACAGTAGTTGTAAAATTCATTATTTGTGTATTAAATATTTAACTCGACTTAGTTTATCATATGAAATTGTCTGCGAAAAATGTAAGTGGTTTAAGGTTTTATCGAAAATSTTCGATTGTCAGTGTACATAATAGCAATATAATACTTATAGACATATTCATTATGTAGTTAATTATAGTTCATTTATTAGTCATGTATCAATAGGATTTGTATAAGATATTGAAACACTATTCACGCAAATTATACATGTTCTTTAAAGACAAAAAAAATATCACATACCAAATTATTAATTACATTTAACAAATTTCAATATTTTACATAAACGATTTACGATCTTCACAATAACCATATTGAGCAAAACATGAATGTAGGTACCTACATTTGAAAATTGAAATTCAAACAATACATTAAATTAAAATTTTTAACACTTATTAATAATATATGCAAACGATTAATCACAAAATAAATGGATTTATATTTTAAGTTCCAACTATACAATATATTAACACGCAACATAATAGGTAATATATTAACGAGAATGAAAGTCGCAGAACATATTTGACTGAAAAAAAAACGTTATAACTAATATAGTCAATATAAACAATAACCTCTATATTTTTATAATTTTACGATTTAAAATATATTACATTTACCAACACTAA